AATAAGGGAAATTGCTCACAAAGTTTCTGAGCAACAGAAAGGAAGTAGGATAAGTTCAAATGGAAGACATGACAAGACATCATGAAATTTTGATAAGCATCTAGAGGAAGTATGGTTGGTGGGAGGTGGAGAGTTACTGTGTCTTACTCCTTTGAGTGTCAAAGGCCCCTAAATCAGCAGGCTGCTCACCCTTTTCTCTCTTCCCCAACTTTGAGCTTCAAAGGAAACAAAAGTATACTCAGGGGGAATGGCAGCACGTCAGTGGAACATTGGAGCATATCAGGCCCAGAGGAGAGGAGAAAAGGAATAGAGGAAGGTAGGCCAGGAAAGAAACTAGGGCCCTCTGGGGAAAGGCAGGAGTTGATGGGCCTCGCACTTGCTAATTAGTGTTTGGTGTGTGCTGAGAAGGAGAAACATTTAGTCCTGTGTGGGTAGTGAGGCTGAACGGAAGCAAACTTCCTGCTCACGAGCAACTTGGGACAGCAGTATTGACTATAAGCAATGGAGTCATTGAAATGGAAACCAGCAGAATGATCCTGTGTGGAATTTTCAGAATCTGAAGGATGAGCAGCTCTTTCTGAGTGAATAACACACACATATGTGGTTCTTCCCACACCTTGGACAGCCTGGTATGGGCCAGGGGGTCCATGGAGGAGATGTCAAGGTGAAAACCAGAACAAAGGCAGTCAGATCAATGTGCAGAGCAGGAGTCTGAATTAGTAGGCAAGGTCTGGGACTAGGTTCTCAAATCATGAATGTTCCCTTTAATGGATGAATGGCACTCTTTTCCCCATGTTCCCTGTAGAGTGTGCCTATGAAGAAAAAGTGGGGGCTTGGCATGGAAAAAATGGATCTTGAATACATCTGCCTTACTGTAGAATATGGGAGGAAATCATGATTCCTAGGACTTTCCTTCTTACCTGGGCATTGCTTTGCTGTGTCTAGTTAAATCAGTCTGACCTTGGGGCCACAGCATACACGTGGCTATGCTTTCCATTGGAGACAGAGTGAGCTTAGCATAATGTTCAACAGCTTGGACTCTGGTTTCTGACTGTCTTTGGTTCAAACCTCAGCTTTTCAGTTGTATGATCTATGCAAGTCAATATCTTGACTTCAGTGTCTGTATCTGGAAAATGAGAATAGTAATAACATATGTTATAGAATTGTTATATGGGTCATTATGCTAGTGTTTGTGAAGAGTTTAAAGAAGTGACTAGTATATAGTAAACATTATGTATGTGATTTTTTTTTTGGTAAAATAAGGTGAATAGGTGTTCTGAATTGCTTGATTTCTTCCAGTTTCCCCCAGCTGGGTCTTATAATGATAGGAAGTAGTTAGTAAACCATTTCATTCTTGCTACTTTTGGTCAGAAGAGGCCAGAAGAGCATCTAAGAGTTTGTAAACCAGACCTCCATGCCTCCTTGGTTTACCCAAGTATGCTTAGTCTGATAGCTTGCAGATGGGTGTACCAGAGGACCTTGATTCATTTTAAATTGCTGCGTTTCTGGAAAATGAGCAGAAGGGTTTGCACAGACACCCAGGATCAGTGAAGGACTGAGTTCTATTCAGGGGTGGGAGCTAATAAGTTGTTATCTAGCTACCCCACTCCCAACCTTACCATGTCATAAACAACTAAATCCAGAAATCCAGAGTGGCTATTTTGAGAACTGGCTGAGGAGGGTGGAGGGAGGAGGGGCAAGAGACAGAAGCCCCAGTGTACTGCTTTTTAAGCAGAAGGTGCGAGGGAGATTTCAAGGCACGTTGTGAGTACCAGGGATTTTCTTCTCCTTACAGCACCCTTTTCTGGTTTCCCACCGACCTCATAAATGCAAGCAAAATGGAGCTGGGAAGCTCTGGGGAATCAGACAGCAGCTGAGCCATGGGCCCACTCCAGGGCTACCAGCAGTCTGAGGAGAGACTTAGGGAGGGGGAACAGTTGGCTAGGCAGAGGGAAGGGGGTGCCTATGTGGTTTGGTCCTGACACATATCTCTGCTTAGGGGACTCTCAGAGTTGGCTGATCTGAGAAGGAAAGCGGAGGAACAAACAGCTGTCTGAAGGGAGATATTTGGAATTGGGGCTCAGATTTTGCCCTAAGGGGAGGGGCTGGTTAAAGGAAAGGAGTAGATGGATTAAAGGAATAGGTTTACAGTCAGAGATAATGGTTAAAACAAGGATCAGTGAAGGATTTGCTGGCCATAGAGAAAGGAGATTTGAAGGCTGAGGTCATGGAGCTATAGTGCTTGAATCCTGACCCCAAAGCCCTCTTCTCTGGTATAATGGTTACCCTACCCCAGAACACCCATGAGTGCCATGCTTTTGCAGTGAGAACAAATCGCTGATGGTGACATATATCAGTGTGGAAGATGCCACCTTTTCAGCTACTAGGTTATTAGATTGATCATGTGAAAAGCAAACAATTAACCACTGGAAGATCATGGGGAAAGGAAGAGCCATGACCAGGTCGGTTGCCCAAGAACCCCGGAAACAGCCTTTCCTCTTCTAGAACCTGTTTTTTGGCAAAAGAGTGACTAGCATGTTTCCCACAGGATTACAGGAACCATTTCATGCATTTTCTTGATTTTAAATAAAAATGTTATATATACATAATAAGCAATCTATATGTCTTTTATAAAATTTGGATCATACCAATTTTTTAAAAAGATTTATTTATTTATGCATACAAGAACTGGGGTACAGGCCAGAGGTGTGGGGGTGAGAGGATTCAGCAGAAACAGTGCGGAGTAGAACAGGCAGATCCACTGAAACACACTGTTGAGGGGAGCAGTGGGCAGGTCAGGAGAATTCTGCTGTGCCATGTGGGTCAGCTCCCTGGTCAGGGATTGAACTTCTGCTGCAGTGGCTGTGTATAGCTTCATAGTGCTGCCCTTTAACCCGTGTTGCCACCAGGGAGGCCTGGATCATACCAATTTATACCCTACTTTTATAAAGTATCAGATAATTATTTTGCAACTGTGTATGATACTTTGCAAGATGCTAAGGATACACAAATCCCAAGACTTGAAAAAGTGGATTTTGGACCAATTGAAAATCAATGGGATCAACAAAGCTATCTTAGTTTGGTCCAGATTTTCACTTTCTAGTAGTCTTGTTTGACCTTGGTCAAGATCTTGAACATCTCTAAGCCTGGTTCCTCAACTATTGATAGGGATGAAAAAAAAGTAGGGGTGACAATGCCTCCTGGATTTCAGAGGATTAAATGGGATCATGTTTGGCTCATAATTCATGCTCAGTAAATATTATTTGGGTACCAGTCTTATCTCTTCTCTTAGCCTGCAAAGTTGAACACTATTTTCCCTTGTTTCATCTAAATCCAAGGCCAGTAACCCCCATATGAGTCTTTAGTGCTGTCCAGCAATCCTGCCACACCTCACCAGTCACTCACCCTCTTACTTTCCCTGATTATTTCACTCATTCTCCTTAAGCTGTCAATACTTCCTACTCCTTCTATACTCTTAGCTGACAACCATGCTCTTATTTCACTGAGAAAATAGAAGCAATCAGAAAAGACCTTCTATATCCACTCTTACTGGCCACTCGACTTGCATCTGTAGCCTTATTTCATACCTTCATTCCTGTATTGTAGATGAAGGCCAACCCCTTTCCTGGCCACTAGATCCATTCCCTCTTGCCTATTCAAGACATCGTGCTAGTAATTCTGTCCTCTCTTTCATCATCAGTATTTTTTTCTCTACGAAATCATTCTCATCTTATCAAAACACCTTTTGATGACTGCATTTTCTTATTGAGCGCCTGTCTAACTTCTCTGCTGTCCTTTAAAATAAAGTTCTTGACAGGATTATCTTATTCAAACCTCCATCAGCACATCCTTCTACCAGGAAAACTGTGCCTTCCTCACCTATAATTTCCTATCACTTATACCACTATCACCCTGGTCCAAATCCCAAGACCTTCATAATTGTTTTCCCTGGATTCTCTCTGGCCTCTGTGTAGTCTCTTCTCCAGCCAGCAGTCAAAGCAATCTTTTAAAACATAGCAGACCATCTTTCTCTCTGTCCCATACTCTGTAATGTCTTTCCATCAACTCAGAAAAGAGTCTGAAGTCTGGCCTCTGCTGATGGCACAGGGGTTAAGTCTTAGCACCATTGAGATATCACCAGCCATTTCAGTATGAGTTCGATCCCTGGTTAGGGAGCTGACTCACATGGCGCAGCAGACCTCTCCTTTCTCAGCTACTGTTCCCCTCAGCAGTGTATTTCGTAGATCCACCCGTTCTGCTTCCCACTCTGTCTCTGGTGAATCCTCACCCCCCACACCTCTAGCCTGTATCCCCGTTCTTGTATGCATAAACAAATAAAATAAATCTTAAAAAAAAAAAGAATATAAAGTCTTTGCCCTGGTGTCCAAAGATCCTCATTCTGACTGCCTGTCTACCTTCATTTCTTAGGTTCTGTCCTGGTCACCTGGTTCCAGCCAGGCTGGTTTTCTTATTCTTCCTTGAAAACACAGACACTAAATCTAGCTTGGGAACATCAGCTCGATTTTTCATGTGCCTAGAAGGTTCCTCTCACAGATCTTAACCTGACTTGCTCTTATTTGTCGCTCAGTCCTCAAATGTTACTCATCAAGGAGGACTTCGTAGACTCTTCTGTTTTCGTTCTTATCACTTGTCACTTACTGGCATATTTATTTACTGAGTTCAGAGATTTTATTTTGCTAACTACTATATCTCCATTATCTACAACAATACTTGGCATGTATTACACACTGATTTATTTGTTGAAAGAGTGAATCTTGTGTTTCTTCTATACCCCTTTAGTGCATAGAATAGTGCTGAATACCAGTAAGTACTTGACACATATTTATTAAAATAGGGTAGAAACATCATTAATTACATAACATAAACTGGATTGTGTCAGCTTCTTAAAATAGAGGTCTTACATATGGCAGTCATTCAACAAAGTTTTCCATCCATAAAATGGGGGATAATGCTTTATATTCCATTGAGCTGTTGTGAGGATGAGCCAAGAAAATATTTGTGAAATCACCCAGTTCCTGTATTTTGGCAAATATCGAGTACCCAAAATTATACTTGATGAAGTGAATAACAGACTCCATGGGCAGTCAAACTCCTTAAAAAGATCCCCAAGGTCTTACATAACCTTCCCCACCCCCAGGTATCTCTGACCTCATCTCCACTCATCTCTCCTCCTTCCTCTATCCTCACTTCATCCCAACTTCATTGGTCTCTTGATATTCCTCAGACACCCTAGTCATACCTCTAGCTAGGTCTCAGGGGCCTTGCCCCAGACAAGCACAACTCTTTTTTTTTTTTTTTTAAAGATTTATTTATTTTATTCATACAGAACTGGGGTACAGGCCAGAGATGCGAAGGGTGAGAGGATTCACCAGGAACAGAGTGGGGAGCAGAACAGGCAGATCAACGAAGTACACTGCTGAGGGGAGCAGTGGTCAGGTCAGGAGAGGTCTGCCTCGCCATGGGGATCTCCTCCCAGGCAGGCAGGATCGAACTCTTGCTAACTCTTTCGGAATTGGCTTAAGCTTCTAGGTGCAGTGCTTTAACCCGCTGTGCCACCAGGGAGGGCCACAATCACAACTCTTAACCCCTTATCTCCATCTGCCCTTGGCTCAAATGTCACTTTGAGAGAAGCGCTGCCTGGATTCCTCACTGCCACCCTGATCTTGACACCTCCCCTTCCTATCACCATCACCACTCAACAAAATAAATGTGGTGGTTGTTTATTCACTTGCCTGCCAATACACTAAAATGTAAACTCAGTGAGAGCAGGGTTTTTATCTGTTTTGTCTTCTACAATTTCTCTAGCACCAAGAGATACTGATTGAAGGAATTTTTTTTTTTTTTTGCAGATTTATTTATTCATACAGAACTGGGTTTCAAGGCAGAGGAGCAGGGGCGGTGAGAGGCTTCACCAGAGATAGTGAGGAGCAGAACAGGCAGATCTCTGAAGTACACTCTGAATAGCATGCAGGGCAGGAGAGGTCTGCTGCGCCATGTGGATCACCTCCAGGGCAGGGATCAAACTCACACTAAAGCAGCTGTGACCAGCTTGCAGTGCTGCATCCTAACCCATTGTGCCACCAGGGAGGGCTGACTGAAGGAATTTCAATGACTTTTCCCTCTCTCACTGGACCTCAAGACCCACTTCAAAACTTAATTAAGGAATACATCTGGAAATAGGAGGCCTTAAAAGTGTGGTGAATTTAAGAGGTGGCAGCTTTATACTCCCACAGATATCTAATACTCTGATCTTTCACTTCCAGCTTAACACCAAAACATCCCCAGCAACCAACCAGGCACCTGGCCCGGAGGAAAAGGGTGAGTGGGGTTAGGCTAGGTAGTTCGTAGAAAAGATAAATAAAGGGACATGAGGACAAGTAAAGGTGGAAGCCTGGAAGTGCTAAAGTCAGGTGGAATAGGGAATGGATTAGTGAAACAGAGTACTGGGCTAGATGTATTCTAGCCATAGACTTCTTTGAACTTTTTCCTAAGAATAAACCAATGCACATTTACTTTTTGATTTTAGAAAATGTCCTAGACTGGAGACAGATGCAGTGATAGGAAGGAAGCTCAGATAATGCCAGTCACTATCTCTCCGGGAGACTGAGGGTCAGCTGGGGAAAGTGAGTGTACTTTGGGGACTCCGAACTTTAGGATTTAAGAGTAAGTGGTGGCAGAAGACATGTGTTGTCTTGGTCTGAAGTAACACGGTTAAGTAGCTACAGCTAATTCTCATCCTAGGTCCTTGACTCAAATGTTTAGGGACGTTTGTAGGCATTCCTAGCCCCAGCAAATAGTGGGGGACATCACAGAGTCCAGCAGAAAGTTGACTTTAACCACTGTATTGGGGGACCAGAGGAAGGAGCTGGAGCAATTCAGGTTTACTCATTAATGAATCTCTCCAACTGATCCGCAGGGAAAGCTGGTAATGCCAAGAAGGCTGAGGAGGAGGAGGAAATCGATATTGATCTGACAGCACCAGAAACAGAGAAGGCTGCCTTGGCCATTCAGGGCAAGTTCCGGCGATTCCAGAAAAGGAAAAAGGATCCCAGCTCCTGAGAAGCCAGTCTTGCTCCCCTCTCCCCGCTTCTCCACAGCTCTGACTCCTGTGTATTTGTCTCTTTGTCCCTCTAGTCTCTCATTGAGGCAAGTTTAACCATATATATTATGTTCCCTGCCCCCCACAAGCCATCACAGTAGTAGAGACAAAAGGAACCTGGGGAAGATGAATTCCACTGGCAGCCACTTGCCTAAGAGTGCAACAGTTTCTCCTCTTCGGGATGGGTTCCTTACTAATCCCCATGTATGCCCTATGGGGCTGAATCGCAAGAGACTTCGGGGTTGCTAGACGGACCCCTGACAATGTGGGAAGGGGAATGCCTTCAAGAAGGGTGCTCAGGGTGGGGCCTATGTACTGTTCTGTGGGGAACACCTCCCTCCTCACACCCCCTGTACCACATCCTCTGACTTCCCTCCTAGGAGCTAAGCCACAGTGGGGACCAGAGCCTCCCTTTCCCCCTGGGCAAGCCTAAATCAAACAGCTTACACATTAGTGCATGCAAATTAGATTAGTTCCAAGGAAGGGAGAGACAAAGGAAAGTTTCCTCCAACATCTAGTCTAGGACCATGAGGGGCAGAGGTGGAAGAGGTTCAGGGGGTCACAGACAGAAAAATGGGAACTTGGGTAGATTTGGGGATGACCGCAAAGTGAAGAGGGGAGGTCTCTGGAGACACAAGTTACTGCCAGTGCAAGTGTACATTATGAGGATTCTTGGGGCTTTGCTGACCTGCCTGCCTCTAACAAATCCCACTCCCTGCCTCAGTCTAGCCATCCTCAAAGGCCACACCAACCAAGTGATCCCTGTAGTGCCCACATGCCCCTGTGCCCCCACCCCATGGAGTCAGGGCACAAGTGGAATATTCTTTGTGGTTTTAGCATGTTTAATAATTATAAAAATAAAAAGAGCTCTCACATGGGTTCGTTAAACCTCCTGTTTTTTTTTCTGGGTGGGGGGGAGGGGGAAGCTGAATGTAAACCTGAGTCACCTTGGGGCTGCACAGAGATTGCACAGGAAATCAACTGCCTAAGCCATCTGATTCACCCACTTGCCCTCCCCCACCTTGCCCTCACCCTGATTCTCCAGCATATTGCTATCTCTGCTGCCACCAGCGGCACACCTGCAAGAGCTCACCCTCTCCCCCACTTCCAACCTAGCATACTGTGCACAGCCCTCTGAAAACAAAGCTAATCTTCCTTGCTCTTTGTACTCAAAGGACTTAGCCCTCATGCTTTCTCTCCCTCCCACATCCCCTCTCCTTTTGTTGTTTATAAAAGTTAGGAGAAGACAAATTCTTGGTCAATAGAGAAGACAAACTCTGGGTCAAAACCACCCTCATACTGAAGAGGTTAAACAACAAATAAAACCTAATGGTGGCTTCAGGTGGGCTTACATTGAGAAGTGATTTCCATACATTGAAACCAGAAGCTCAATGCTTAAAGGTGGAGCAAGGGACTGCTCTATCTCCCCCTACTCTTCTCTTAATAGTTACCTTTCCTCCTTTGGGTTAAGAAAATAGAAGTTGAGACCATGTAGCAGCTCTGATAGGAAGCAAAGGACAATATCCCTGCAGGTAACCTCTCTCCTGATGCTTATCCATGCAAAGCGAACATCATGGCTGCAGGCTTAGGAGGATGGGCCACGAACACATGGGAAGGCCCTATGGTAGAGGGAGTCCCGTGCTGATATCAGAGGAAAGAAGGTTTACATCTGCCATCTTTTCTTTCGAAAAGATTTGATTTAGTTTTACATAGAACTGGGATACAGACTAGAGGTACAGGGCAGGGAGGGGGGGAGTGAGATGAAGGGTGGGGATCAGAACAGGAGGATCTACTGAAATACACTGCTGAGGGAAGCAGCGGTGAGCAGGAGAGGTCTGCTGTGCCATGTGGGTCAGCTCCCTGCTCAGGGATTGAACTCGCTGCAGTGGCTGGTGATAGCTTCATAGTGCTGAGACTTAACCCCGTTTGCCACCGGGGAGACTCCTGGAATTTTTTCTGAGAGCGGTATTAAGAATGATGGTGACTTCTAATCCTGGCCTCATGGGCAAATAAAGGAATCACCTCATGGCCCCCAGTGTGTTCCGTGTGTCCTGGTAAACTGGGGTATTCTCCATTTCCTGGTCCCATGGACATGAGGTGGGAATGTCTGTGCTGCCCCTCCCTCTGCCCCATGGGATTGAGTAAAACAGGGCCCCTGTGCCTGGGGCAGGGGTTGGCGAGTGCCTAGTGTGGGGCAGGACGGAGCTCCTTCACCAGCTCTGGCTACCAGGGGGGTAGCTGCTGAGTCTGTTTTTGCTGTACTGACCTGAATTTAGTGCTGAATTGAATTTTTTCCTTCACCAATATTTCCCCAAAAGCATTACTGGTCCTCACACATATTTTATTTTTATTTTTGCTTTTTCTTTCTCACATGTATTTAAAGAAAGGTCATGGTGGACATCTGCACAGCTTGGGTGCAGAGAGTCCAGGGCCTTGCAGGTTTTTTCTCCCCTTCCTGGCCTGGAGATCTGTCCTGCAACCATGCCTGTACCTAACCTGGCCCACCCCCACTCTCCACCCCTGCCCCAAGATCCAAGCTTGACTTCCTCTTTGCATGTACTGGAGCTGGGGTTACTAGAGCAGTACTGGATGTCATGTGCTTGGTGTGGTTCATCCAGCTGTCGATCAGAATAGGAAGAGCTAGAACCCTGGAACAAACGGGGTCTCAATGACCAATAAAAGTTCTGCTCAGCAAATGGCACATCTTAAAACAACTAGCAACAACAAATGTTAGCAAGGCAGTGGACAAAAAGGAACTCTCCTGCACTGCTGGTGGGAATGCAAACCAGTACAACCACTATGGAAAACTATTTGGAGTTTCCTCAAACTGCTAAAAATGGAGCTTCCATATGACCCAGCAATCCCACTCCTAGGTGTCTACCCAAAAGACACAAAAACACTGATTCAAAAAGACACCTGCACCCCCATGTTTATTGCTGCTTTATTTACAATAGGAAAGACATGGAAGCAGCCCAAATACCCAAAAGTAGATGACTGGATTAAAAAGATGTGGGTACATATACACAATGGAATATTACTCAGAAACCAAAAAAAAAGAAAGAAAGAAAGAAAGAAACACATGTCTTTTGCAGCAACATGGATGGAGCTGGAAAAGATCATGCTTAATGAAATAGGCCAGAAAGAAAAGGAAAAATACTGGATAGTTTCACTCATAGCAGGAGTATAACAGACCAGGCGAGAAAATAACAATAGTGAACAGCTATATACCAGAAACATTTTACAGGGATGGACTGGGGAATGGGATCAAAAATAGTGGGGGAAAGGAATGTACTAGACTATGGTGATGGCACAGAGTGATTTGGTGATGGGAAGCCCACGGGGATTACGACTGAGATGGAAAAAGGCACAAAATGATGTAAAAATAAACTCATATTATTCATTAAAAAAAAGTTCTGCTCAGCAAAAGCAGATGACAGCAACTGCAGAAAGAAGGTCCAGACTTTCCAATGAAATGTTTCATAGTAAAGTTGCTTAAAATGAAGGTCTTTCAGAAGCCATTGAGCAATTTTCCACTTAAACAGGAAATACTTCCTCTCTAAACACACAAATCACGTCGGTATATGATGTTGAGGTTTACACTAACAACTATCTAAAACCTGCAAGAACAAAGAAAGGGCACGATAACAAAGCAGTCTGCTTTAGTCATGTTTGCAGAAGCAGCCGTGGTTCTCAGTAAAGATTCTGTAACTGGTAACTGGGTTCTCTTCCAGTCGCTTCCTCCTACTGTGGGGCACTCCAGCGGAACCTCTTTTCCTCAGAACCTCTCTTGGGGGCAGTGGGCTTGCCCTGGGATCTCCTCAGTGGGACTCTGATAGCCTGTTTTTTTCCTCGCTCCCTCTAGTTCTACTGTTGGGGCCTTTGATCCCTGAGTACTGATCACTGAAGATCATTAAGTTTCCTTTCACGGAGCAAAAATGCAAACCTTTGGGGGGCTGGTGAATGCTCTTATAAACGGCCTTTTCGGAACAAGTCAAAGAAGCAAGCCATATACAGTTACCACATCAATGGCGTGGATGTCTCATGAGGAGATTTTTCAAACTCTCTGATGGCAGAAATGCAAGTAGATGCTGACAAAAGCAGGAAAGTTTTGGAGATCTGAGACAGTGATACTTTTGGATATGTTCCCAAAACTCACATATGGAGATGAAGGTCTCGGGAGCCATTCAGGGAGCTAAAGGGACAAGGCTCCAGCTTTCCTGGACAACCCCCCCCCCCCACTTTCCCCCTTATTTTTAGAGTTGTTTGCAGTGGGCGTGGCTACTGGTAGCTTCCTGCTCCCTGCCTATCTGGCCTTGAGAACCAGTTCTTACTGGTTCTCTCCAGTGAGCAGCCTACTTCCTGCTCTTCACCACCCCGTACCCCAAATATTGCCTCAGAAAAGTGAAGGTTTGGGGGTCAGGTGGTTTGTTTTTTGTATTAAGATTCACATTAAGTTCTTTTCTGCTTGTTTAGGTGGCTGCTCCAATGCTGTAAAGGCAGAGACAAACCACGGCTGGCCCCAGAGTCAGTGCATGGGGCTGCAGGAGTCTCTTCCTCCTTGGCTGCTTCCCTCTCCACCATCTAATCAGGGTGGCAGGGAATGCCCCCTCTTTCTCCCAGCATCATATTCTTCCCCTGGTGCTTTGGCAGTGGTAGTAGCTTTTCTTTATGCCCTAGACACTAAGACCTTTAAGAATGAAGCAATGCCCCTTCTTGGTGGGGCAACAGGTTAAATTGCAGCATGATACCTGGCCCCCTACCCCCCCCCACGGGATCCGCATGAGGGCCACCCCCACCCCCTAGGCCTCTCCTGACCACCCACTGCTCCCCTCAGCAGTGTACTTGGTCAGTCTGCCTGTTCTGCTCCCCACTCTCACTGCCCCTGCACCACTGATCTGTACCCCAGTTCTGTATGCACAAATAAATATTTTTTTTTTTTAAAAAGAAGAACAACGCAAGGGGAGCCATCTATACTGGATCACCTGAAAGTATGCTCACCCACACACTTAGCCTTCATGCTAGGAAGGGTCCTCAGGGATGCTCATCCCCAAGATGGGGTAACTCCCTATCCTTGTACTTGCAGGACATGAAAGGTGATGACAATATTTGAGATTTGTAAAGCACTCTATATCTAAGCACTTATACATATATTAACTCATTTAATTCTTACAACCCTATGGCATCGATGCTATTATTATCATCACTTTACAAATGAAGGAACTGAGAAACAGAGATTTTAAGTGACCGTCCCAAAGTAAGTGAGTGGTTTAGTTGGGATCAGAATTCAAAATTCAAGCTGGCTGGCTCCAGAATTTGTGTTCTTTATACATCTTGGAAGGAGCTGCAAGGTGAAGGGCAGATTTGGCGTCTAGTATGATGCCCAGGTGAGAGAGCAAAGCTTCTCTTAGCTTCTTTTCTCAGTTTCTATATGTCCAGACATGCCTAAACAGGTAAATCTGACCCTCTTTAATCTCCCATCCTTCTAGGGACGGCAGATTCTGGATTTTCCTGCCAGCTTTGCCAGGAATTATTTTGGTGTCGTGAGTGCCTCATTCTATTGCCTTCATGGTATTCTAGGGGCCTTTCTGGAATCAGAAGTGGTTTGAAATTAAATGGAGAGAGAGATCTGCCCTGGAAAGAAGGAAGTGCCAGCAGACTTACTTTAGGGTATGAGGATGAATATATGTGGGCACCCTAAAGTAAACCCCACTCTTCTTTGATTCAAGGGAAGTCATCAGGTCTAGTGTTATGCTTCTAAGCTAGTTCTCAACAGGGGGAGGTACTGCCCTCTAGGGTATGTTTTGAAAATCCATGATGGGGGCTAGGGTGGGGAGGGTTCATTGTCTAGGAGACAACCACACAATACTT